TTTTGCCTATTTTGCTTCTTAACAAGCATGCTAAACACAGTCCTCTTTTTGAGCCTGCAAATCCGTGTGTATTCATCTTGCTACGGGTCTTGATAAAATGTCAAGCTAGACCCAGGTGACCCTCTACAACTAGCAAAGATAAAAATTTATTAGACTGTTAGAGGAATGTATGTATCTGTTAGGGTGCTCTTCTTCTGTGTTTTCCTCTTGAAAGGAAATAAACTGTCCTTATATTTATCCTTTGCTTTATATTTTTTAAAATACTAAATAGAATGGGCTTATACTTCATATTATTTTGCATTATCTATTATGTTATTTTCTGTTTAGTTAAATTACAGGTTTTAGTTAAATTGCTAAGTTTTAGTATCTTAAGAAGCAGGTCTTAAAACATTATTTGTTGAGTGGGTTTTAAATAAACATCCTGGTCTAATACATAGTTGTTCCTATTTATGGGGCTGTAATTTTAATAGGGACCATATGGTGAGGGTCTTAATGTTTTTATCCATAGAACACCGCATGTGCCTCACTGAAATAGTGATAGACATCTGTTCACTTTATCTTGGGTAAAGGACCCACCATTCATCTAGACTGCCTCGGTTGCCTTCATTTTTCAGTTTCCAACTCAGATGTCATCCTCAAAGCCCTTCTCTGGCCTTCCCCAAGCTCTTAACTCCTCCAGGCAGAATTAGTAACTCCCTCCTTTGTGTTCCCATAGAGTTTTTACACAGCTCTCTTAAACTCTTATGTTGATGATCACATATGACTTATTTCAAGAAACTTATTTTATGCCTTGTCAGTAGTGGATATTTACCATGCATAGTGGATCTTTATCATTGATTGTTACTGTAATTCCTAAGTTCATTAAAACATTGCCTTTAAAATGATGCTTCTTTGCATGGTTGTAGGCTAAACTCAGATTTAGGGAACTTCAGTAAATTTATTGAGTGAAAAAATTAATTCAGTGAGTGCAATAAAATCTGTTAAGTTTTTTAATCTGAGAGGCTAAAGGAAGATGAATATGTGATCTAAAATGGTCAAAGTAAAAAAAGTAGACATCATATTTCAAAATTGTGAAGATACGAAGTAAATAATACCTTTAGCCATAGCAAAACACCCTGGGTTCCTTCTGGTTGTTTTGCTGTATAAAGTAAATCCTCAGTCAGAGGAAGCTTATTATTAAACTATCCATTAATAGTTATTTCTTCTTGCTGTTAATTATTAATAGCAATTTATTATTAAGATAATATAAAGATATCTCACCTAAAAACATGGTCTTTCTAGGGCAGAATTATAGTGAAGCTTTATAGTAAATTTTCTATTTAAATTAATAGGATTCATTGGTAGTTTTTTCTAAAATGTTTGAAAAAATTCTTAAGTGTTTAACTGCTTTTACTTTTTAAAAGACAGGAATTATATATTAACATATAATATATAACATAATACATGTAATTAATAACAATATGTAATCATAACATTATGATTACTTTGTTCTGTTTAAGCACAGAACTCATACTGTACACCAAATTGTAGTCTTTCATCCTAGTCCCAAACTGTAATGATTGTTAACGCTCTTAATGTAATTATGTGTTCTAAATCATCCAGTCATTTCTTTTTCCCTCTACCTCTTAAAAACATGATGCCATAAAAATATAAAGGAGAAAAAAGAGAGAAGAACAGAGGGGGAAATTTGCATAATTCTGTTCATCCATGCCATGAATTTCAACAGCCAAAAGTAAAGGAGACAGAAGTTGGTCACTTTTAGCCTAATAAGTAACTTTATTATTAATTTTTAGAACACAGCTAATTTTCTGTATTCTCTGATTTGGACAGCCTGTGGAGAGTAAGTGGATATCTTCATCATGTGAAATCGTTGCTTTCCGTAAAGCATTGTTGAATCCAGTTACCGCAAGACAATTTCAACGGTTTGTGGCTCTGAAAGGAGATTTATTGGAAAATGGGGTGCTCTTTTGGCAAGAAGTACAAAAATATAAGGTATTACATTAAAAACTGGAGAAAACCACCTCTTTTTGAAGAGGAAATGCATTAACATATCAGATTTCTAACTAATTTTATGGACAAGATTTGATTAAGGTGTCCCAAATCTTGATGTCTTCACACAAATATGTCAGTACTGAGGTGTTTATTGTTCTATGTTAGATACATTTAATATTCTAACAGCAAGAGTAACAGCAAGTTACAGTAATATTCTAACAGCAAGCCCTGAAATGATAGTATTAGGCCTTTCAAGGTGTTCACATGTATTATGATCAAATGAGAACCTTCCTGAAAAGTTTTAACTAATTTTTGCATATCACTTATCTATAAATGTACCATGCACATTTTTTCCTGAAGATATCCATATTCAGTACTTAAACCAAGACCTCTTTACAAGAATTCCTTCTGACTTATTTGCAGCTTTGTTATCAATATCTTTGATATCAAAGATAATGGACTATAGGTAAATAAACCAACAGAGATGAGAGAGGATTTTCTATTAGAGTGGCCAAATTCGTAACAAAATAAATAAGTGAAAGAACAGGTTTTTAGGTACAAAACAGTTTTTTTTTTCAGGTTTAATTGTTGGATGGAGTCATATAGAATCTTTGCATTGAAGAGGAGGAAAGGACTTTCTAGGCTATATTCTAGACTTGAATACAGGAATATTGTCCAGAAATACCTAAGAATAGGCATCCAGCTTAAATACTCTCAGATTAGCAGGCTCATTTCTTTGCAGGAAACCTATTTTATCCAATTATAAAAGCTGAGAATAAAAATAAAACGGGAATTTGAGAGGATAATGCTTTTAATTGGCCCATAATCTTAGTATGTATTATGCAGTGCTAGTACTCTGCAGCATGTATGTTCTATATAGTTGGTAGCTGTGCAATGCAATCTTCTTTCCAGACGTTCTCCAGCATGCCATGAAACTGTTTTCTACTCTTTTCTGTTATCAACAGTTTTTATACTTTTCTCAATGAAGAAATTTCCTCAGGAAAAAAAAGTATTTTGAAATAAGTTTTAAAAAAATCTGTCACAAGTTAAGTAATAATAAAATACTTTTTTGAAAATTAGAAAGGGGGTAGAGTCTGTTCTGCAGGACAGGCAATGATGATGAGTGGGCAGAAGAGTCTGTAAGCTAAAACGAGTATGAGTCAGGCCAGCCCTGCTAGGGCAAGAGGTAATGAAATAAACTGTGCAGAACAAGCTTTTTAAAAAACCATGGTCTCATACACAGTCAACCCTTAACTCTGTGGCTGATTCTCCTTTAAGGCTGCCTTTGGTCCCCATTTAAATATCTTTTCTGTGGTATAGAATGAAGGACACTAGGTAGCTGTTAAAAATCATGCTGTAAGAGTAAGTTTGTTCATTTGATAAGCATATATTGTCCCTAATATGCCAGTCATTGTGCTGATTGTAGGAATAAAAAGGTGGATACAATGCACTGCCTTCCCTCAAGGAAGGAGACGTCCATGAAAACAAATGTCATGAAATAATATTGATTCTGATCCGTGTTCTAACTAGGCATAGTTTTGGCACAGAGGAGAGGATGATTCAGGGAGGCTGGTAGGTCAGGGAGATCTCAGCAGAAGGGATGATACTTGAACTGAGTCTTGAGGAAGTTTGCCAGGGGAAAAGCATTCCACATAGCAGAGTCTTACTGTGCTCGCTTTCATGTGACTTACTGAGTGTTTACTGTCTGCCAGATATTGTCTTAATACTTTTGATGTAATAACTAATTTATTCTTTATAAGAATCCTAGGTCAAAGCTATAATTCTCACCAGTTTACAGATGAAGAAGCTAAGGCATTAAAAATCTGAGAAACTCCTGACATCACTCACACAGCTAATCAAGTGGTAGAGCTGGAATTTGAACCAAGCCATTCTATTGCTAACGCTTGTGCCCTTAACCACTAAATTATGCTCCGTTCCGCTGATGATTGTAGTAATATGGAAAGAGATGGCTGCAGTGATCTTACTCAAACATTGTTCTGAATTGTTAAAAATTAGAAAGAACCCAGATGTTTGGCAACAGGACACGGGTTACTCAATTATGATACTCTATACAATAGAATACTCTGTAGCCATTAGAATGTGTGCTGTAGGAGAATAATCAATGATGGGAAAAGATATTCATCTCATTGATTTTTCAACACCTAGCTACTAGAGAACAGTATGATTTTAATCGAAAGTATGTTTGTACATGTGTGCGTGTGTGTGTCCGTAGAGAAAAGACTGGAAGAATATATACATCCAGCAAATACTTATTGAGCACCTATCAAGGGCCAGGCTAACTCCTAGGGGTGCAACTGTGAACAGTCTTTCCTCTTAGGGCTTACACTGTTGTGGGAGGGACAGACAAGTGATAGACTAGGCGATTATAAGAGTGTGATTAGTGCAGTGGTGGAGGAAACACAGGATGCAATGGAATTACCTACAATGGACATCTTTCCTGGACTGAGGGAACGTTTCCTAGGGGACATTGCAGTTGACCCTTGAATAACACGGGTTGAAATGTGCAGGTCCATGTATAGTTGGATTTCTAAAAAATAAATACAGACTACAGTACTACACAATCCACTGTTGGTTGAATCCCAGGTTGCAGAATTGAGTTACAGACAGCCAACTCTAGTTACATGTAGATTTTCTACTGCGTGGCAGTCTGTGCCCCTAACCCCCATGTTGTTTAAAGGTCAACTGTGTGCTCAAACTGAGACTTTAATGATGGGTGAAAGTTAACTTGACCAGTGGTATAGTAGGGCAGAACACTTAGGAAAGAATATTAATTCTGATTCTTCCAGAATTCTGTTTCTACACTCTCAAAATTAAAACTGCATAACTTCACAAATTTATTTTTATTTCACAAGTCTTGCAGCCCATAATAATAATAAACCAGCTTGCCAAATAATCTGATATGATAATTTCACTAGTAATGGTAATTTTTGGTAACGTACCAAACATATGTGTTATAAATAGGCATATTCTGAGGGGATACTAAATTGAGTAGAAGATGCTAACTGTTGCCTCAATGTAACATTTATATCAAGATTTTTCACAGATAACTTATTCCAAACTTGTAACTTATGTATGTGAAGTTTTATTTGGTGAGCACTAGAATTTTTCTTTCTTTATAATAGTGTCCATAGGACAGTTATTACAATGCCTGTCATATAGTGAGTACTTAGTAAATGTTGGCTTATTTCTGGCCTAGAATTACAAGTTTCCAAATATGTTTACCTTCTAGTGATTTAGAGAGCAGTGTCTTTGACAGATAAATATCATGATTCAAGCTAAGCTACCTCTTTATTTTAAAAAAACGATAGCCCTACATCTGGGCATAAAACTGGGTCTTCTAAATGTACAATTACTATTGTTAAGTTCTTTAGCTATAAATATGATAATGTAATAAGTTAACTTAGAACAATGTAGATACTAAGAGATGTGTAATACCCCACCTGCCAGCACAGGATTCCCGCTTATGTTGCTAGGCTTTTTGAGCCTAGGTCACCTTGGTGTAGAAGCAGTTATGGTGGAAAAAGCTTTTGCGTCCACCTGTAAGTTGAGTTAGGTGCCCGTTCTCAGCGCTCTCCCAGGGCCCCGGGTACCTTTACGGAGCACTTAGTAACTATCTCAGATCGGAGTGACGTGTTTTCATGCTTCTCTTCCAATAGATATTGAGCCTTTAAAGGGCAGGTGCTGTGTCTCGGGGCTCAGCTCAGTGTCTGGCATATAGGAGGCATTTAATATAAATGTGTTAACTGAGTCAAAGTAGACACTAAGCTGCTCTTTTGCCAGGAGAAAAAGCAATCAGGATTAAATAAAACCTGTATTTATGTAAGGTACATGCATCAAAGTCTTAGGTTCCTCAAACCTAAGAGAAATAAAAGCTACGATATCTAAGGTAGTCTGCATGTCCTAGTACCTTCTTGACCTGAAGTTAAAGTGTACATAATAACTGAAGGACACATCGACATATTCTATAAAGTGTTCTAGTAACGCATCAATCATGTATTGTTCTGTCTTTCTTCCTTGGTTAGGACTTGTGCCATTCTCATTGTGATGAGTCTGTCATCCACAAGAAGATCATGACTATTATCAACTGTTTTATTAATTCCAGTATTCCACCAGCCTTACAAATTGACATTCCATTAGAGCAAGCCCAGAAGATTATTGAACACAGGAAGGAGTTAGGACCATATGTATTTAGAGAGGCACAGGTAAGAAGTCAGGGCATGTGGCTAAGCATACTTTGAAACAGATGAACAGTCTAGATATTCTTTTAAAGTTTTTGCATTATTCATATTTTGCAAGGTTCTAATTCTCCTAATGCTGGGATTTATTCTATTTAATTAAAAAAATCTTTGCATATGCCACAGAACATGGAAACTAGTAACTTAATATTTTGTTGATGATAATGTACAGAAAATACCACTATTTAAATACTGTGCTTTGACTTTGCATAGTTATCATTTTTATTTCTAACTTACAAAACTCCAGTTAATTCGTCCTTTCTTTCCCGCCATTCATATTTCCTTTTAAAATATCTGCTATGACAGATGTGTATAAAATATGTATGTCCCAAGATTTGCATATTTTTAAAGATTGGAATATTCACATAGCTCATAAAATAAGTGAGAGGAGATTTAAGTACCCAACCAACATAAAGTACACAAGCTCATGAAAGGAAAGTCGGGCCTGTTAACCTGCTCAGGTTACTTCTTTTTTGGGTAAATAATAGAAGACACTGCTTTGTTGAACATAATTTATTTGCATTTTGAAAAGCCTTTTAGTGATGCTGTTCCTGAAAAATGATTAAGAAAAATAAATTATAATAAGGGTAACAGGGAAGGCTGTGTCATGATTTAAGTGATATGAAACAGAGACTTAGGGTATGATTGCCCTTGAGCATGGAAAAAAAGCCATTATTCCTTAACATGCATTTGCAAGCCAGCTGTGTTCTAAGTCCTAAAAGGACTGAAAGTAGACTCACAATCTAAATTATGCATTAAAATAGGCAAAAATATAAAGGAATGATTGAGGATTGCTAGAGAGAAATAGAGAAAACATGGTGCCAGAACCGTAGCATCTGTTAATGAAAAGATCACTCAGCCTAGCCTCAGTCTCCTGCAGCCCAGGCCGGGGCTTGCCCGTCTAGAGCGTAGACCTTGAGTCTGACAGTGAATGTCCAGAGCTGCTTACATTGGTAAGTTCTGCCACACTGTCCAGGGATTGCAGCTTGGGAAATTTCCTGGAGTCTCCTAGTTTATGCCTTCTCCCTGGGTTCCCGAAACAAAGTCCTAGACATATCTTAAATATGGACTTTGGAGCATCAGAAAACACCTCACCAAATCTATTACTCCTCTGTGCCTAAGGACGCTCAAGGGATGGCCTGCCTCCTGCCCGGGTGTATAAGCCACAGGTCTGGTTGCCATCCTCATGGCTTCCCTCTCCTTCACTCCCTTACCTTTGGTGATCTTCAGTCACTAAAACATACCTACTTGGCTCCTTGTTACCTGTTATTTTATCTACTTTTCTCCAACTCCATGCTGCTACCTCAGTTCACAAGGCAGTGTCTTACACTGACTAGCAAAATTCCCTGCCTCTAGCCTCTCTTGAAACTATTTAACTCACTGCAGACAGAGCCATCTTTTTCAAAATGTATATTTGATCATGTCACTTCTCTGTTTTCAATTTCGATTGCTCCCCATCATCCTCAGAATGAAGACCATACTCCTTCCTGCATATCTCTCTAACCACGTCGTCCCACCCGCTGCCATCTATCTCCCAGTCGTACTGAAATATTTCTTCCCTCCAGAGCTTTTTGCAGTATCATCTTCTCTCCCTTATACTTCTGTAATGTCCTGTATTTGTCCCTGTCAGAACACTTATCACACAAAATTGAAAATGACTATTCTCATGTCTGACTTCCCCATTGGACTATAAGGTCTTTGAGGGTAGGGAGTGTTTCTTATTTACCTTTGTGGCCTGAGTGCCTGGCACAGAATAGACACTTGACACTTTTGAATAAATGAAAGAGTAGTGTGAGAAGAGATCCATCATGACAGAAAGGAATAGATCAAGTTGGAAATGAAAGCGAAGCTGAACAAAAGGGCTGAATAGTAAATTAAAAACTTGCCTGTTTTTGCATCCTTATCATTGTAGCCTCTGCCTGCATTCCTAATGGCTTGAAAGGTTTCATCACTCAGCCGTATTTTCACTGGCCCTTTTAAATAAAACTACAGCCATTGCCATCTGCTGGCAGCGAGCAAAGTAGCTCTCTATTTATGAAAACATTTCCTTACCCATACATAGTTAGGTTATCTTTTAAGGTTCTGGAGGTACAGGGCAATTTTCATGAATAACATGTATGTCATTAACCTTAATTGCAACTTTTAGAAGTAGAGTAATTTTATGTTTGCCTTGAAAAATTGTGTCCTAATAGGGTGACTTACTGGAAGGCCTTCTAGATGAAAATAAATATATTTGAGAGCTGGGAATGACTCAGGTTTTGAAGCGATAACTGAGAAGTTGAGTCAATAGTTGGTAAATAGAGGAGGAGGAGTATTTAACGTTAAGGAGTTCATATGAGAACCACTATGATCCCGTAACATTGGAGCAGGGGGTTACTTAGTTAAATGCATGGCAGATAACTGTAAATGAAAAACATTCTTAAAGCCTGCGTTTCATCAAATAAAGTATCTTTAGCTTTTGTGCTTACAATCCCAAGAGGCTATAGAATTCAATAAGAGTGTATTTTAAAGGGAGTAAATAATTTTACAATTACTAATGATATTCATGTACAGAAAGGAAGAGTAATAAAATGTATCAGTTCAGGACTCTGTTGATCACAGCAGCATTTACTTTTTAAAAATTCCACTTTCCCCCTGAAGAGTTGGCTTAGAGCCTAATGGGATGGTTCACTTTTCTCCAGGGCATGAGGTAAAGGCCATTCTTAGCAACAAGATGTTGGATTTCATCTGATGTGGCAAGTCCTACCTTCTTGGAAGCAATGTATGCCTTTGGAACTAATGGAAAAACTTGGCATGGGGATTTGAGCAACAATTCTTATCTCTATAAATATCACAATTAATCACTTAATGTAGAGTGTCCTCATAGAAAGCATTTGTCCAGGATACCACTCTGCTTTTTAAATGTTACTTTTCTTGCTCTTACATAAAAGAGAGATTATATCATTTAAAAGTTACTCAAGATTTATTCTTAGATCTGCAGCTTTGTTTAAGAGCTTTTCCAGAGGCAAAATGGTATTTCCTTTCTCTGAAAGAAGGAAAAGGGGGTAGAGAGGAGTTCCCCTTGATGAACTGAATATTTGGAATACTTGCATAAAACAACAGTGTGTGTGGCAGATCAACTAGTACATGTTATAAAAGAAAACATAAATTTCTTATTTAGAAAGACCTAATGGATTCTTTATTAATACAATCAATTGGTTAGAGAAGCATAAAGAATAAAGTGACTTTTAAGTGTATTTAAGTGTATTTTTTTTTGAAAGAAAGACTTTTCATTGGTAGTAAAAAAACATTGATGATAAGCATGTGCTGAGCTAAACTATACCAAGATGTCTGGAGACAATAAGTTGGAAGAAACATGCTGTATATTAAAGATAGAATAGTTAATCCATTATTATGGTGAATTAGAGTTTAAATTGGTACATTTGTATAAAATTGTAATCTGAGGCATACTTTGTTTTTTATACAGATGACAATTTTTGGGGTTCTGTTTAAATATTGGCCTCAGTTTTGTGCGTTTAGGAAGAACTTAACTGATGAAAAAATTATGAGTGTTTTGGAGAGAAGACAAGAATATAGTAAGCAGAAAAAAAAATCAGCAGTCACAGAAGATGAAAAATCTGCAAAGGTGAGACAAGAATCATTTTGGGTTTAATCAGACCTTTAAAAGGTATGTGATATGTGTGAATTTAAAGAATCTGGATTGGGCAAAAAGACAGAGAAGTTATAGAATACAGATTTTAGTGGCTTTATGCTTTCAATCAGAGATTTCAGACTTGTTTTTGAACTTTTAAAAATTTATCTCAAATGTCATCTCTTCTATGGGAAGGCTTTCTGGACCCTCCTAGCACAGCAGCTCACATCTGCTGTAAAAGCAGTCCTGCCTCTCTTGGAGAACACTTTATATTGTCTTGTGAGTAAGTTTTTGCATCTGTCTTTCTTGCTGGACTGAGATCCTCAAAGATACTCTTAACACTTTCACCATTGTCCGGCTCATGATCAATTATTAATCATTGTTTACTGAATAAGAGAATGAATGAAAAAATATTATGTACTGTGGGCAGCATTTTCAATATTAAAATTACAGAATGATACATTAACTGTGAAACTTATTAATGTAAGTCATAAATTGTCCAGCCTGCCTGTCTGTTAATCTGTCCATCCATTCATCCATCCATTCATCTAGCTCTCTTTATGTTTATCTGTTTTCTTTGACTTGAAAAGGAGTAACAAGTAATATATTTAATCCTATTCATAAATTTATTCCTATTCTGTTTTTTAAAGGAAATTTAAAAGAAACAAAAGTAATATAATGAACACCCCAGTTTGCACAGGTCAAAATAAACACTCTTAACATTTTCCTCATTTGCTTTTCATTTTTCCTTAAGAAGTGAAAAATTGCAGAAGAGTAAACTCTCTTAACCCCAGTCCTGAGTTCTGTTACCCTCCCCATCCCAAAAAGCAACTGTTAATTTTGGGGTACATTCTCCCAGCTCTTCTTAAAGATGTTTTATGTAGGTATATGGATTCATAAAGAATGCAGAGGACTATTTTGTATATATTTTAAGTTATGTAAATGGTACCATATTCTCTTAGTCTGTTCAGGCTACCATAGCACACAGACTGGGTGGCTTAAGCAACAGAAACTTATTTTCTCACAGTTCTGGAGACTAGAAGTCCCAGATCCAGGTGCCAGCTGATTGGATTCTTGGTGAGACCTCTCTTCCTGGCTTGTAGACAGCCACCTTCTTGTGTCCTTGCTAGTTGAGGAGGGATGGAGATCTCTCTCTCTCTCCCTCTTCATATAAAGCCACAGTTCCTTTGGATTAGCACCCCACCCTTATGACGTCATTTAACCTTAAAAATCTCTTAAAGACTGTATCTCATGGTACAGTCTCACTGGAAGTTAGGGCATCAATATATGAATATGGGGAAACTCAATTCACTCCATAGTATATATTATGCTTTCTACATCTTGCTTTTAAATTCATTTTGTCTTTTAATTCTACTGCACTACTTAGATCTAGTTTATTCAGTTTTATTGCTGCATTTCCATCATATGAATAAATATACTATTTTTATTTAACTATTTCTTTATTGTTGGATTTTTTTTTTCCAATTTTCACCATTACAGACAGCACTGCAGGCAACGTTCCTGTAAATGTCTCCATATTCACATGTATAAAAATGTTCTGGAATGACTGAGTAGTAGAGTATGTACGTGTGTCAGTCTATATTTCTACCAGTGGTATATGAGAATACTGCTTCTCCCCATTTAGTACGTTCAGACTTTGAAATTTTTGCCAATGTGTTGATGACAAACAGTATGTCATCATGCTAATGCATTTATTTACATTGACCTAATTATTGGTAAAATGGAACAACTTTTCACACGTTATTTGGACATTTTGATCAGGATTGTAATAAACCTATGATCAGTTTGAGAATTGACATTATAACAATATTGTGTCTTCTAGTCCATGAACACAGTTTATCTCTATTAAGTTCTTTAATTTCTCTCATCAATGATTTGTCATTTTCAATGACAGGTCTTGAATGTATTTTATGAAATGTATTCCAAAGTATTTCATATTCAAAATATTGCTATTGTTATTTTTTAAATTTCCAATTCCAGGTGATTTTTTTTAGAAAAAACCTTATTTTGAAATAATTAACATTCACAAGAAGTTGCAAAGATGGTACGGAAGTCCCACTTTCCCTTCACCTAGTTTCCCCCAGTGGCTACATCTTACATGAACTATATACAGTAGTACATCAGGAAACTGACACTGGTACAAAGTGTGTGTATAGTTCTGTGCCACTTTGTCACATGTGTAGGTTCAAGTAGCTAACACTACATCCAAGATGCACCACAAAGTTCTCCCTTGTGACTACAAGTCATATCCACCCAATTATCCCTAATGTCTTGCAGCCACATGTCTGTTCCCTATTTATGTAATTTTGTCATTTTGAGAAATGTTATATAAATGGAGTCATATAATATGTGACTTTCTGAGATTGGCATTTTTCACTCAACATAAATGCCCTTTAGATCTGTCCACACTGTTGTGTATACACATAGTTCGTCCTCTTTATTGGGTCTGTTGTATTTGCCCGTACCTTTGCTCTTTCCATTTTTCTTCCTTTTTGATGTTCCAGGATTTATTATTTTATTCTTTCTTTTCCCTACGAGTAAGGTATTGTTTCTCACTTCTTCCAAGATTTTTCCTTTGTTTCTAGTTTTCATAATTTTGATTATAATGTATCTTGTGTGGTATTTTGGGGAGTTGATTCTGTTTGAGGATTACTTGGGTTCTTGAGTCTGTAGGTTTATATCTTTTGCCAAGATTGGATGAGGGGAATTTACATTCATAGTATATTTATATTCATAGTGTATATATTCATTGTGTGTGTGTGTGTGTGTATATATATATGTGTGTGTGTGTGTATATGTGTGTGTATACATACACTTTATTTCTGATCCATATGCATAATCCCTTGGGCACCTTATAGCTTCATTTCTGAGATATTTTGGTTTTTTCTTCAATTTTTTTTCAGTTCAGTAAACTGTCAGTTTTACATTTTCCTTTTTAAAATTTTTTTTTGTCTGTTTCTGTCCTCAGTTTCTGTATTTATGATTTGGAGTATTATTTTATATATGCAAGTATTTTTGTAGGAATATTTTATCTATTTTGGGATCCTACGTTAGAGTTTTCCTCTGATTCATGATTGGATTTCTTAGAGAGTACTGTTATCAACTAAAGTGTTGGAGTTCTCATTTTCTTTTTTGTTCTTATAATGGTTTTATATGGCCATCACCTGCCATTTTCTGCTCATTTTGAACTGTCATATTTTCTTCAACAACCAATAATAGGGATGTGGAACAATCAGAACTCTTACACACTGTGAATAGGAGTATAAATTGATAGTCACTTCAGAAAACAGTTTGACTTTATCCAATAAATTTAAAGATGCACTTAGCCTTTAACTAAGCATATCTAGGCTTATATGTACGTATATCCTAGAGTAATTCATGAACACATACATCAGGAAATGTGCACATGATTTATAGCAACCATGTTTTCAATGGCAAAAAGTAGGAAGCTATCCAAATGTCTATTAACAAGGGATTGGAAAAATAAATTCATATGGTAGAATCCTGTGCTGTGATGAAAAGCAAATAAATCATAACCACAATAATAAGTGTAGATGTATAGCAGGAGTATAATGTTGAGTGGAAAAGTTGCAAAGGAATAGAAGCAGTAACCTCTACTTATATAAAGTAAAAATTCATGCAGAACTAATTAATACAAATATGGTAGACTATAAATAAGCAAAAGTAATGAGAAACATAAAATCCCGTATAGCCATTACCTTTGTGGGTTGAGTGGAGTTAAATGATGGGGTTGAGGAATGATACAAAGTGATACTGCACTTCTTAAGCTTTGGTGGTATTGTTACTATTCATATCTGATGTGAGTGTTACAAATATTTTGTGTTTAATATTTAGTAACATTTCTATATGAATGATGCTACAAAAAATATCAGATTTTCAGAAGCTTCTCTTTGGTTGTTTTCTATCATCTGGAGGTTGATAAAAATCGTCACATTTAATTTCTGCAGTCCCTTGAGGCAAGTCCATATCCAGCTGAGCTGTATGAATGTGATCCTAAGTTGGTAGCCTCAGGAAGGTTTAAAGGGCTGATTGAGGGAGGAAAAAAATAGAATGTTGTCTAACTTATGTACACTAGGAGCTCTGTTCTGATTCCACCTGTGGCACATGAATAACTTCACCAACCAGATGTCTCTTGTGATTCTGCTGCATTTTCTACTAATGTGGCCTAAATAGTGCCTCAAAAGAACTTCCCATCCTAGTCCTTTTCTTCCTTCTTTCACTGGACTTTTATTAATTATCTACTACATAGAGTTTTATGGATCATTTGTTCATATTGATCCCTGCTACATAAGCTAGGGATATGAATATAATTTACCTATTGTGCAAGGGTAGGTAAACACACACATACACTTAACTGGAAATGGTATAAACAAACAACTGAAACCACAGAAAATGAGCAATTAATTATTTGTGGGGAATGGTAAAGGATCTCAAAGGAAAGGTAAATTAGAGTTAGTCTTAAAAAGTAGGATTTTAGTGAATGATTTTAAATGTATACTTATTGAATAAAGAATATAGGTTAGACTTAAATATGACATGTGAAGCATAATGAATATCATAAAGTAAATGTTAGTTATTATCTTATTTAAGGTAACAATAACTGTCCCTTACAACAAAAATACTAATGTTAATTATATCCTTCATCTATTATTCTTATAAAGGAATCAAATGGAGCTAGGTAATCTGAAGAAAGTTATGATAGGAGAAAGAATGTCATGAAAAGCTTTCATATAGTTTAATGTCAAGTACTTAAAATGAACAGTGACAAATTCATTAAACAAGGATCATAATAAGTTAACTAAATCTTTTAAATTGTAAATGGCAAAAAATAAACAAGGTTAAAGACAAATTAGGAAAATATATGATATTTCAAAAAATTTATGATACAAGTTATAAAAATAAAATATGAAAGATAAATACTTTAAACAGAAGATAGGGCAAAGGGCATTAACATACAATTCACAAAAGAAATACGAATGATTAAAAGCATTAAAAGATGTTCAACCTCACTGATAACCAAAGACATGCAGAGTGGCAGAAAAAAAAAAATCCAGTGTTGGTTGAGGGTATGAGAAAAAGTCCTACAAATTCATGCATTATTGGAGGAAGTATAAAAATGATACTCGGTTTCTGGAGGGCAGTTTGAGAACTTACATTGTTTAAAATATTCATTCTTTTTAAACTAGCAAATACACTTCTAGAAATTTATCGTAAAGGAGAGAATCAAAAAAGTACACAAAGATGTGTACATAGCATTATTTGTAATACAAAATTTTAAGTGACCTGAATTTCTAATAGCAGGCAGTGGTTAAATTATCTATGGTACACTCCTTTACTAGAATATTATTCACTTATTGAAATGATAATGTAGTTTATTCTTTTATCATTCAACAAATATTTGTGTGCATAAGACTGTCCGTCCATAGAAAATAATAATTTAATTTATTCATTTCATCATCCAACAAATATTTGAGTATATACTATGTGTTCTACTGTAGGCATATTTGGTATATGATACAAAGACCATGCCCTTACATTCCTATTCTATATTTATTCACAGAGAAATGTTTTCACAATATTTTGCATGAAAAAGTAGGTTTTAAAGGAGCACATATAGTGTAATACCATGTGTATGAAATTTATGTAATAAAATATACATATTAAAATTATAGATTATATCTAAGCATCTTTCTAGTGAGAAGTTTGGATGAATGTTTGTAGTGGTTTTTCTTAGAAACTAGAATTTGGGGGTGATTTTTACATTCTACTTCATAATTTCATTTATTTTGCAGTATTTTTATACTAGTATGAAATAAAATTAAAGATCATAACAGTAGATTGTGTTATATTAGTGATATTGGTGAAATCTCAGGTATGGTGCTCACCACAAAATATTTTTTTACATGATATGACTTCTGAACTGTAAGTTTATATTAATATAGCATTTTTCCCTTTTGGGGAATAATTTAATTTAATATAATTACAGGATGGAATCAAACAGTATCCGAGTACTTCAGGATCTGCTATCAAAACAGCCACTTTAGTCAGTGACCCAGGTTTAGGCCTGCAAGCGTACGGCCGACAGGTAAGCAGGGAAGATGCCACAGATAACATTTCTTCTACAGAGCACTGGATAGCAGGGTGCAATAATCCAGTCATTTTATAGTAGTAGAGGTGTGTTTGTTTGGAAATGAGGCTAAAGAGAGAAAATGGCCTCTTCAATAAATAATTCTGGGGCAACTGGACAGCTTCATGCAAAAGAATCAAACTGGACTACTTTCTCACACCATATATATAAGTAAACTCAAAATTTTCAAAAACTCAACTGTGAGACCTGAGTACATAAAACTGCTAGAACACATAGGCAGTATGTTCTTTGACATCTGTCGTAGTGAAAATTTTGGATATCTCTCCTTAGGCAAGGGAAACAAAGGCAAAAATAACCAAATGGCACTACATCAGACTTTTTTTTTGTTTCAAATTAAGCTTTTGCACAGGGAAGGAAACTATCAACAAAATGAAGAGGCTGCCTACTGAACTGGAGAAGATATTTGTAAACAATGTATCTGAAGGGGTAATATCCAAAATTTACAAAGAACTCATACAACTCTACATCAAAAAAGTAAACAACCCAAGTAAAAAGGGACAGAGGACCTGCATAGACTTTTTTTTCAAAGAACACATACAAATGGTGAACAGGCACATGAAAAGATGCTCAACATCACTAATCATCAGAAAATGCAAATATAAACCACAAGGAGATATCACCTCACACCTGTCTGATGGTTATTATAAAAAAAAAAACAAATAACAAGTGTTGGCAAGGATATGGAGAAGGAAACCCTCATGCACTACTGGTGGGAATGTAAATTGGTGTAACTACTATGGAAAACAGTATGAAGACCCCTCAAAAAATTAAAACTAGAACTACCATACAAGTGGAATCCAGCAATTCCACTTCTAGGTATTTATCTGAAGAAAACAAAAACACTAATTCTAAAAGATAGATGCACTCCTGTGTTCATTGCAGAGTTATTTACAATAGCCAAGATTTGGAAACAACCTAAATGCCCATCAATAGATGAATGGATAAAGAAGATGTAGTATATACACAATGGAATATTACTCAACCATAAAAAAGAGTGAAGTCTTGCTATTTGTGACATATGAATGGACCTAGAGGGTATTAAGCTAAGTGAAATAAGTCAGGCAGAGAAAGACAAATATTGCATGGTTTCACTTATATGTGGAATCTAAAAAACGAAACAAATGAACAAACAGAACCAAACGGATACAGAGTCGTGGACACAGAAGAAACAGGTAGTTGCCAGAGGGGTTGTTGTTGGTGGGAGGAGAGAAATGAGTGAGGGAGAGTGGGAGGTGCAAACTTTCAGTTACACAATAAACCAGTCACAGGTTTGAAATGTACAGCATGGGGCACATAGTCAGTAGTTGGGTGATATCTTTGTGTGGTGACAGATGTTAACTAGATTTATCATCATGATCATTTTGAAATGTATAGAAATATCAAAAACTACCAATGAAATACCAAATGTATAGAAATACCCAAAACTAACATGGTGTTGTAGGTTAATTATACTTCAGAAATGAAGAAGAAAACAAACTCGTAGAAAAAGAGATCGTATTTGTGGCTACCACAGGTGGAGGATGAAAGGAAGGTGAATTAGATGAAGGTAGTCAAAAATATAAATCTTCAGTTATAAGATACATAAGTACTAGGTGTGTAATGTGCAACATGATAAAATTAACACTGCTGTATGTTATAAATGAAAGTTAGAGTAAATCCTGAGTTCTCATCATAAGAAAAGTGGTTTTTATATTTCTTTAATGTTTTATCTATATGAGTGATAAGTGTTTATTAAACCTCTTGTGATCATTTCATGATGTGAATCACATCATTATGTTGTACACCTTTAGCTTAAACAGTGCTATATGTCATTATATCTCAATAAAACTAGAAGAAAAATTAAATTATTAAAAATTTGGATCAAGGCTATAGAAAAGTACCTTTACATTATCATAAATATATGTACATAAATGTAGACCAATAACAATTTGTGGCACCCAGTTAAAAGTTTAAATGGGCAAGTTCTGCTTGTGAAAATTCATATGATTATAAATTTATCACCTGTGTTTTTCTTTATATGTGTTATTCTACAATAAAAGTTTTAAATAAAGGGGATGATAGAAGCTATCTTACCTTCAGTTTACTTCCTGGGGCAAATATTTCCAAATTAACTTTGAAAATTATTTTTCTAGCCAACCTGGTGCTACTCGAAGTACATAGAAGCTTTAGAACAGGAAAGAATTCTTCTTAAAGTTCAAGAAGAACTAGAAAGAAAGTTGTTTGCAGGTAGTTTTTGCTTTTTCCTTACAGAGTTGCTTTGTTATCTTCTATCATGGGTTCAGTTTAGAGGGCTTGACTGATGGTTACTTCACTATTTTCCTTATTTCTCTCTCTTATTTTTTGTGCAGCCACGCCATCTTTTACAACTTTCAAGTCTACTGCTTCCAATATGTCTCTGAAAAAGACCATATCTTCTCACAACATCCAGAGTGAGTTTCAAATGCTAGTCTGTCTTCGGTTCTCTCTTTCTAATTGTTAGAGCTTCACCTCTCACCTCACCATCTGGAATATAGAGGGCAGGAAGGGATGAGGAACAACTCCCTCCCAACTGCTCTGATCCACACATTAGGAGAATTCCGTGTGTGTGTGTGCGTGTGCGTGTCCTGTCTCTCTGTTTTTTCTCCTCTGCTGAAGAGGAAGGACTAAGCCTATACCCAACCCTTTGCCCCATTCCCAGAGTGACAGCACTCATGGGAGCTGCTGTAGGTACAAGGTAAGTAAGAGACTGCATTGATTACTCCCATCCATGTCCCGCTGACTCACACACTGATGCCCATGCACACCTGTACAGAGCGCACACACAAAGCACACACACACATAGTTAGACTCCCCACCAACAAGTTGGTGGGTAGGAGCACCTTGCCTGCCTTCTGAACACAGCCTCCTGAGTAGGAAGGCCTCTGGGGAGTGACCATTTATTGCTTCTGTTTACTTCTTATCTAGTCTTCTCTTCCACAAAGAATATTTATGAAAGAATGGGCTCTTGCTCAGTTTCCCAAGTTCTCCCAAGCTGAATTTTTTAAGTTCCATTTTCCCAAGATAGGAACATAAGAAGGAACTGAAAATAAAGAACCAAAACTCAAGCTGGAGTCCATCTCTCACAGAGATACTGATGAGGTTATGCAATTTCAGTCAGATACTAATGTTAGAGTTTAGCGATGCCCGTGCAGAGTAGCGCAGGGGTGTAATCTGTGTAACGCACTGACCCAGTACTTAGAACACCCAGCAGAAGTCCATATTCTCTTACCTTCCATCTCGCAGCTTAGATTTTCGTTCCTTAAAATCCATAGTTTTCTGGTTCTCGGGAGGGTTTGATGAGCAGGCCTGTATGTTCTTAGCCTGCTCATCTTTTTTCTCCTCTGATTTGCCCTCGCCTCTGCACCCACTGCCAGTTCCCCCACCCTTGAGACCAACCTCACAGTGCCTCTGGCACGTAGGGTGTGCTGACATGTGTTAACTTTTTTGATCCTTGTTACAACTCTCTAAGTTTTTGTTTTTGTTGTTTTGGGTTTAAATTTTTTATAGCTGTTTATGTTTCAATCATTTCTCCTTTTTTTTTTTGCAGGAATTCTTTAAACCAAATTTAACTAACAATGGAAGCTCAAATGCTTTTTGACAGTCTGCTTTAGAGCAAGCCTATCATCTAAATAAAGTTTGGCTTGTTTTACTTCCACAGTTCGAAACTTACAGCTACTCTGTACACGTGACATACAAGACTATAAAAAATTTTTAAACTTATTTAGAATAAAACAACTTCTATCTAGGTTAGAAGAGTCAAAATGTTTCATTTATCACAGACCTTAAGGAGCAATAAATGTTTTGCTCCTCAAGTAGTCTTTCAACAGATGTTTCTTGAGTATTCACTGTACAGTTGACCCTTTCACAACACAGGTTTGAACTACGCAGGTCCACTTATATGCAGATATTTTTCAGTAGTAAATACTACAATACTATAAGATCTCTGTATGATGAATCCACAGATACGGAACTGCATACATGGAGGAACCTTCGGTACAGGGGCCTACTATAAGTTATATGCAGATTTTCAACTTTGCAGAGGGTCAGTACCCCTACCCTCCATGTTGTTCAATGGTCAGCTGTATCTGGTTAGTAGATATATTCAGCAAGTGGTCAGGGGACCAATATTGCTAGCAATAAATTGACCCAAAACATAAAGGGAAGACCCTTCCCCACTTTATCCCTATCCCTATACACAATTCTAAAAAAAAAAAAAACCCCATTAAAGCAGTGGTTCTCAAACCTTAGTGTGCATCAGACTCAGTGTAACATTTGCTAGAAATGCAGATTCCTGGGCTCACCCTCTGAGAGGCTGATTCAGTAGTTCTTGGACAGGACCCAGGAATCTCCCTCTTTAACAGACATCCTCGTTGTCTCTGTGACACAGGTGTTCCACAGTCCACTCTTTGACGTAAACTGTTAGGGTAGTAAGAGAAGAGCTTTAAAAGGTAAAAGCTCTCTTATTAACTGGAGTTACACTTGTAGCAGAGAGAACCCAGACACGCATCCTCCTGTCCTCTTCCTGGAGGCAAAGGAGAATGTGTGAGAGATGATCTGGGGGGTGAAGCTTCACCATCCGTAGGCCCTGGGACTCAGAAGCTGTGACCTGGAGTAGTGGCTTGGAGGCACTGGACTTACACTCTGTTACGATCCCAGAAAGTATTTTCAAGTAGAAACTGCCATTCCTAATTCACTAAAGAGTTGGACATTTTAAAGGGGGAAAGCATCAGGAGGCACACATCAGAGATCATTTTTTCCCTAAAGCAGTGGTTTTTGGACTCTTTTTTTTTTTAAGCATTGGAACCCTGTAGTTCCCTCTGCTCCCACACTCCTCTAGACCCCATATTGGCCAAGACGTTTGTATCTGTTTTCCATTCATTGCCCTTGTCTTCTTTTTTTTTAATTCCATTCCTTTTCTGCCTTCTTTTGATTTTAATTGAGCATTTTATGTGATTCCATTTTCTCTCTTAGCATATCAATTATACTTCTTTTTAAAATTTTCTTATTGTTATTTGAATACTAGCATCTGACATAGAACATCTAGAAAATAGATGTTTATTAAATATTTGCTGGAAAAATGAAGGAAATATCTCCACTCTAAAATCTTCAAAAGGTAAAAAGTATTGCTCATCTAAGAATGTCAGTATAATGCTATTCACAAAAATTTCCACTTGTATTATTGTAATGATAAATGCCCAGTAATGTGGTTATTTTATACCATTTTTCATATTTATGAAAATAGACCAATGTGTCATCGTGTCTTTCAGAGAAAAAATTAACACATATTAAATCACATTCAATCACTTAAGTCACTTTCAGCCTGAGTTTCTCAACCTTGGCACTATTGACATTTTTGGCAGCTAATTTTTTTTGTTGTGAAGGGCTGTCCTATACAATGTAGAATGTTTAACAATATCCCTGGCTTCTACTCACTGTATGCTGGTAGCCCCTCCCCAGCTGTGACAACCAACAACATCTCCAGACATTGCCAAATCATCCCTAATTGAGAACTACTTTAGCGTTGGAACATTTTTGCATTTTACTTTTTGAAATCTCTAATTACAATGGAATCTTCAGATTCTAGTTCCCCAGCATATCATTTTTTAAAAGTATAATGCCTGTTAGCTCCATTATGCTACCAACAGCACCTTCTAACTGATGACAGCTTGTTTGTTTTAGTGAGTAGCTGTTATTACAGCCACTTGAATAATTTCTCCTTTTACATCATCTTTGAAAGTAAAATGCCTAAAGGAGATGCTCAGCCAATGTTTGTTGAATTAATAACACACAAATTCCTTAGATTTAATGTAACATATACTATATTTTAGGTAATCTTAAAAGTGCCCTTAAATCTGTCTTGGCTTTGTACAAATAAATAAATAAATTCTAACTGTGCTACATGTTTGCATCTAATGTGCTTCTTGACTTTATGAGTTCTCATAAACAGTTTACTTTTCGAAGCCTTAGGTTTTAAAAACACAAATTATTCCGTATACTATGTCAGCTTACATCCTTCAAAACATGTGAAAATTGAGCTTATACTTTGTTTACAGTATTGTTTTGAGTGAATAGTTTGAAATAAATACAATAGTGAAATAATCCAAAAGTAATTTGGCCAATTGGCTCAGATTCAGCTTGTGTATATTATTTTTTAATAAACAAATTTAGTGTTAAAGAGATAACCTAATTCATGCTGTATTTGTTAAATATGTATCTTTATCAATTGTTATATAGTTGAAAATTATAGAATATTATCTGTGAATAATTTTTTTAATTGACATATTCTTTTTGAAATTACCATAACCTTTCTACTTCAAAAATATCTCAGTTGGTATATATCCAAAGATTGAGGAGAATTTGGTTCTAATTTTGGATCAATTACTGTCTTTCTGATTTGGAGTCATTATTTTACCTCTTTGAATCTCAGTTTACTTATATATAAGAAACAAAAGGTCATTTTTCTAGCACTAATATTCTGTGATTCTATAAGTTGATATTAGAACTTTTTAATTTATAACTGCAGATAGAGTTTTGGTGTATTCCTCAATGTGCAGTTATTTTAAATTAGAGCCTTAGATCGAAAGATGAAGGGGAAGGTTTCAAGGTGGCAGTGTAGGAAGATCCTGAACTCACCTTATGACACAGAAAACAGATCTACAACTACATATGGAATAATTCCCTCAGAAAGGGACCAGAAAACTAGATGAACAGAGCCTCTGCAATGAAGAGTTAAAGGACAGCAGCAAGACCAATAGGAGAGGCAGAGACAGACTCAGCAAGGGAAAACCCACATGCCAGATGCAGCAGTCCACAACTGCGAGGGATCACAAACGTATGGGTCTTTTTTCCTGAGGAATATCCATGTCAGGCGCCCCAGCCTCTAGATGCTGCATAGGAGAGACAAGCCCCAAACCACCTGGCATTGAAAACCAATGGGGAATATACCTAGGAAAACTACAGAACTACAGGAAACAGAAAACCTGGTCTTAAAGAGCTTGTGCATAGACTCACTTGACCTGAAAATCAGCACAAAAACACAAGATGGAAAAGTGTATGGAACATGGGTGAGAAGGATCTGTGTACTAATCTTGAAGCATCTGACAGAGAGGCAAAAATCAGTAGGACGCTCCCTGGGGGTTGAGTCACTGGCAGGAGCCATTAATGCAGTCTTAGGCTGCCTTGCTAATACTAGTGGTGGTGGGCGCCATTTTGGAATTCTCCAACTAGCCTGTTAGTGTCAGTAGGAATGCCGTGCTGATAGCCCTGCCTACCCTTCTGTTCCAGCTGAGCCTCACAGCTGGCTGGGCAATAGTGCCATCCAGCACTGCTCTACAGCAGCCACAGCCTTGTCGTAACAGGAGGGCACATGCAACCTACATTGGGGACAACCGTTAGTGCCTGGCAGGATTGCACTTGTGAGCCCAACAGGACATCTTCTAAATAAGGCCACTTCTTCAAGACTGGAAGGCAGAGCTGAATACCTAACACATGAAAACAAACAGAGAACAGGCAAAATTAGAAGATAGAGAAATATATTCCAATTGAAGAAATAAGACAAAACCTTAGGAAAGGCACTAAGTGAAATGAAAATAAGCAATCTATCTGATAAAGATTTTAAAAATAATGTTAATAAAGATACTTACTGAGGGGGAGTGTGGCCATGGAATGCAAGCCTACCTCAGGAAACAACGAAAGTGTCAATTAGCCTAACCTTACACCTAAAGGGACTGAAAAATGAATTAGTATAAGGAAAGAAATAATAAATATGAGAGCAGAAATAAATGAAATAGGGATTTTTAAAAAACTCTAGGAAAGATTGATGAAATTAAGAGCTGATTCTTTGAAAAGGAAAACAAAATTGAAAAACTTCTAGCTAGATTAACCAAGAAAAAGGAGACAGAATTTAAATAAATTTAGAGATGGAAGAGAAGTTGCAACTGGCACTGCAGAAATATAAGGAATCATAAGAGACTACTGCAAACAAGTATGTGCCAAAAAATTGAATACCCTAAAAGAAATGGATAAGTTCCTATAAATGTACAATCTTCCAAGACTCAATCAAGAAGAAATAGAAAATGTGAATACATCAGTTACTAGTAAGGAGATTGAAACAGTAATAAAAATTCTCCTAACAAAGCCCAGGACCAGATGGCTTCATTGGGAAATTCTGCAAAACACTCAAAGAAGAGTTAGTACCTATCCTCAAACTATTCCAAAAAAAAAAAAAAAAAAGAAGAGGAAGGAACACTTCCAAATACATTTTATGAAGCCAGCATTACCCTGATATCAATGACAGGGACAACTACAAAAAAAAGAAAGTCACAGGCCAATATCCTTGATGAACATAGATGCAAAAATCCTCAGCAAAATATTAGCAAACCAACTCCAACAATACAGTAAAAAGATCATACACCCTGATCAAGTGGGATTTATTTTAGGGATGCAAAGATGACGCAACCTCTGCAAATCAATCAACATGATACATCACATTAACAAAATGAAGAATAAAAATCGTATCATCTCAGTAGATGCAGGAAAAAAACATTTGATAAAATTCAACTTCCATTTATGATTAAAAAAAACACTCAACAAAGTGGGTATAGAGGGAGCATACTAAAGCATAATGAAGACCATATATGACACATCCACAGGCAACATACTCAACAGTGAAAAGCCGAAAGCATTTCCTCTAAGATCAGGACCAAGACAAGGATACCCCCATCACCACTCTTACTCAACATAGTATTGGAAGTTATAGCTGTAGCAGTTAGGTAAGAAAAATAAATAAAGGAATCCAAATTGGAAAGGAAGAAGCAAAACTATCACTCTTTACCAATTGCATGATACTATATATAGAAAACCCTAAACAGTCCACCAAAAAAAAAGTTGTAACTAATGAATTTCAGTAAAGTCACAGGATACAAAATATACAGAAATCGGTGATCTTTGCATAAACTAATAACTTGCAGAAAGAGAAATTTTAAAAAATCCCATTTACAATTGGCATCAAAAATAATAAAATACCTGGGAATAAATTTAACGAACCAGGTAAAATGCTGATTCACTGACAACTATAAGACAATGATGAAAGAAACTGAAGAAGACAAATAAATGAAAAGGTATTCTGTGCTCATGGATTAGAAGAATTAATACTGTGAAAATGTCCATATTACCTAAAGCAATCTACAGATTCAGTATAATCCCTATCAAAATTCCAGTGGCATATTTCACAGAACTAGAACAAATAATTCTAAAATTTGTATAGAACCGTAAAAGACCCAAATAACCAAAACAATCTTGAGACTGAAGAATAAAACAGGAGATATCATACTCCCTGATTTCAAGCTCTCCTATAAAGCTACAGCAATCAAAACACGTATGGTACTGGCCAAAAAACACACACACAGATCAATAGAACAGAATAGAGAGCCCAGAAATAGACCCATACATATATGGACAATTAATTTACAACAAGGAAAGCAAGAATATACAATGGAGAAACGACAGCCTTTTAAACAAATAGTGTTGGGAAGTAAGAAAAAAAAAGAAAAAAAAGAAACAATAGTGTTGGGAAAACTGGATCACTGTCTTACACCATATACAAAAATTAACTCAAAATGAATTAAAATCTTGCATGTAAGACCTGATACCATAAAATTCGGAGAAGAAAACATAGGTAATATCTTCATTGACAGTGATCTTAGCACCGTTTTTGTGGACCTGACTCCACAATCTACTTAATGAGAAAAGATATTTGCAAATCATATATTTGATAAGGGGTTAATACCAAAATATGTAAAGAATCCATTAGAAAAACTAAAGCTAGACTTACCATATGATCTAGCAATCCCACTCCTGGACATACATCCAGAGAAAACTAATTTGAAAAGACACATGCACCGAAATTTTCATAGCAGCACTGTTGACGATAGCCAAGACATGGAAACAATCTAAATGTCCATCAACAGATGACTGGATAATGAAGATGTGGTATATATATATACAATGGAATATTAACTCAGCCACACACACAAAAAATAATGCCATTCACAGCAACATGGGACCTAGAAATTAATCATATTGAATGAAGTAAGTCAGACAGAAAAAGACAAATATATGATACCACTTATATGTGGAATCTGAAAAAAAAAAAAGATACAAATTCTATTTGCAAACCAAAACCAGATTTACGGACATAGTAAACTAACTATAGTTACCAAAGGGAATGGGCAGGGAGGGATAAATTGGGTTGAGGATTAACAAACACACATTACTATGTATAAGACAGATAAACAACAAGGACCTACTGTATACCACAGTGAACTATATTCAACTTCTCGTAATAACATGTAATGGAAAAGAATCTGAAAAGAAAGAATATATATGTATGTATAACAATCACTTTGCTGTACATGTGACACTAACATTGTAAATCAAGTGCACTGCAATAAAAAATTTTTTAAAAACTAAGTTGATTCACTAAGGAATTATTCACAACTTTTGCATGGATAATGCTACAATGGTTATGTTCAAAAAGTTATATTTTGTAGATACTAAAATATTGGTGAATGAAATGATATGATGTCTGATTTTTGGCTTTGACATGAAGCTGGATATTGGGAGTTCATCATATTATTCTCATTGCTTTTTATAAATTGGAAAATAGCCAGAGTAAAACTATTTTAAAAGCCAAAACAAACAAACTGTAGACATTTTTCTAAGGAAGACATACAGATAACCAATAGGCACATGGAAGGATGTTCAACATTACTAATTATTAGGGAAATGCAAATCAAAACCACAACGAGATATTACCTCACATCATTTAGAATGGCTATTATCAAAAAGACAAGAAATAACAAATGTTGGAGTGGATGTGGAGAAAAGGAACTCTTGTA